GAACCTGTGGTGCAGCTTTTTGAAATATATTTTTTCCACTAAAACAATATTAAGGGGAGGTGTCCCCTCCCCTTAATACAGGGCATAAAAACTCATAAAATAGTGACATGCCTCAACTATCCTCCCCACCTCTTTTACCAAAACACATCACCCCACCCTCCTCTATGTCAACAAGCTAACAGGTTTACATATCTTGTAAATGTATATTTTTCTCTAAATTTTTATCACTATACATATAGGTACATGTGTAAATATACACATGCACAGGCATGTGATTTTTTTTTTAAAAAGGGTCATAAAAGACATAATTTTCCTGCCTCTTCCTTTTCTCTCTAAATAGATACTTCATGGAAATCGCTTCATGTCCATTGGAATACCTCTAATTTATGCAATTTAATGGCTACATAACATTCCATTGTATGGCTGTATCTAGTATATTCAGTCATTCCCATATGCATGCGCATTCACTCTATTTCCAATTTTTTACCTTCACAAACAATGCTGCAGTAAACATCCATGCACATATATCTATAAAAACAAGTGCATTTATTTATGTTGCATAAAGCTCCAGGAGTGGGGTTTCTAAATTGAAAGGCATTTATATTTTTTATTTTAACAGATCATGATAGATACAACTGTCATTTCAAATGAAGGGTGTCTGAAACAAAAGAATAAGCTATCTTTATTTTTTTCTTTGGGAGGTAGTATTTTGTTTGCATATAGTAGCAACAAACTATAGAAACTGTAATTTTTAAAAAAATGTATAAAATATATATAACAAATAAGAAATAGCAATAATCTCAAAGTATACATGACAAAGATACTTCAGACTTCAGTGAGGAGAAATATAAAAGCTCACTGAACAACATTAAATGAAGACTCAAATAAGACATATACCAAGTTCATGGATTGGAAGACAGACTATTCAAGGATCTCATTTCCATTTGATCTGTTTTATATACTCAGCACAAACCCAAGTTAAATCCCAGCAGGATTTTTATAAAGCCACCCTTCTTCCTAAGGGTGCTTTAAAATACTACATTCCAGGCCAGGAGCGGTGGCTCACGCCTGTAATCCTAGCACTCTGGGAGGCCGAGGCGGGCGGATTATTTGAGCTCAGAAGTCATTGATGACGTTGTAAAATATTTGCCGTTCATCTTGTGGGCCTAAAAACACTCATGTTTAAGTTTTTCAAGATCAATCAGCACAGTATCGGGATCCATTATTCTGACATTCAAAATTTCTATATACAATGTACTGCTTCTCCTTGTAAATTAAGAATGTAGTAGCTTGTATTGATTACCCATTGCTAACAAACAACGGTTTGTTAAATGAACTATAAGCATAAACTCCCAGTTTCAAGTGATCCTCCTGTCTCGGCTTCCCAGAGTGCTAGGATTACAGGCATGAGCCACCATGCCTGGCAGAAAACATTAGCTTTCTATGGAAAATACACAACCTAGAATGCTACACACACGCACGCACATACTCCTTCACTTAATCCTAGTCATAGCCATAAATAGATATAAATATTTACAAACTACTTTCCAATATTATAATTTTTGTTCTGAACACTTGAGTATGCTTATCAGTAAAAGAGAAAGTGGAGGAAAGCTTTCAACTCTGAGTTTCCATGCAAACTTGAGTTTGAAGGAACTAGGTCAAACTGATCCATCTTTGTTCAAACCAGTAAAAAAAAGAACCTGCTGTAATCACAGCAACAATCACAAAAGAGGCAGCACAACTGTAAATGGTTCTCAGAAGGGAATATCCACGTGTTCTAGACTGGTGTGCGCCCAGCAGCTCAAAATGAGGACAGCGTGCCTCTCTAATGGCCCGCACAAAGACCATCTTTCCCCCTCCCCAGCTCCACCACCAAAACACTCCCTAACAACTCTGAAGTTCAAAGGGCACGAATCCAAGTTTTGGGAAACAAGAGCAAGTGAGAGAAACTTAAGACACAAGTAAAAGAGAAACTTGGAGAACTCACCCGGGACCTAAATTTCTTTTTGCTGCCAAATGAACTCCACAGTCAGCAACAAATGTATATCGAGCACATTGGCCCTAAAGGTAGGGGGTAAAGAGACAAGGTACTTGTCCCCATGGAACTCCCTCTATCCTGGGGGAGACACTCAGCAAATAGTAAAGATCAAGTACATAGGCTAACCACATCCTGTGGACCCAACAGCTTCATTGCTGAGCTATGGGAAGGGCAGGTACTACGGACCACTGTAATCAGGATGGTCGGGAACAGCCTCTCTTAGGAAGTGACTGCTGAGCTGAAGGGGAGAAGAGAAGGAGCCAGCCAAGCAACCAGCTAGGAGAAGAAAGCCCCAAGTCAGAGCCACTGTGCCTACAGCATGGGTTGCGAAGGGGAGTGGGACAGAGCTCTGCTCAGCCAAGCCAGGTCTACAAGAACACAGCCCACAGGGCTCGTCTGGCCTCTCTAGTGGAACACAGCTTCTCACCAAGAAATCATCCAATGGTACATTCCCTAAACCCAGGAAGCTGCAGGAAAGGGGATTGGGAAGAAGAAGAAAGAAAGAAGAAAGAAAGAAGGAAGAAAGAAGGAAGGAGGGAAGAAGGAGGTGGAAAAAGAGGAGGAGAGGAAAGAAGAAAGGAAGGAAAGAAGAAAAATATCCACTAAGGGGGGATGTGGTATAGCTACATCTTAAACAGTGTCACTAAATTATCACTAAATTGTCTCGTGTGCAGAAAAGAAAACTAGACTCAGAAAAGTTAAGTGGTTTGCACACAGTTACATAGCTCTTAAGAGGATGGACTAGAAGAATCTGACTGGCATGCCCAGTTTCTTTCATTTTATCATGTAATGTTTTCCTTTTTTGACAAAATATTTGGCACAGGTTATAATGGTATATACTACTAAGATTCATATGAACTGATGATTTTTCATTTATGATACTAAGGCTCAAATGATTTTTGATAGACTCAGAAAAGTTTTCCTTGTAGAGTTCCTAAAAAATTAATTTATCTTATTTATAAATTGATGCAGATTAACATTTCAAAACAATCTCTATATGACCTTTGTAATACACAATTCATAGCAGCCAAAATATAGAAGTTCAAATGTCCAACAATAGGATAAAAACTGAAGATGACACAGAAAATATGGCAGAAGGCTGCTTAGCAATATTAAGTGTAGACTCCTTATACATGGAAACATAATATTAACTATATTAACTTAATTAATTTCATGTTAAACAGAAAAAGCAGAGCACAACATGGTATGTATATACTGGTTACAACTTTGTGACAAAGCACATATACTTACCAATGAAGATGAGAAATAAATTGAAAGGAATGCAATAAAGATAGGGTCATTTTCATTTTCATGTAAAGTTGCTTAAGCTCACACAATAAATATATAAGGCACATTTCCAAAACAAAACAACGTTAAAGAAATAAATGACTTAAAAGGTGGACGTTCTTAAACTTTACCCTAAGACCACACATGCTCATATTCTCTTCACCATTTGGAATTTTCAAAGTACAAGTATCATTAGAGATTTTCTTATTTTAATTCAATTTAAACACCTGAGGTTTGTATTTCCGAGTATTTTAATATTGTCCAATAGGAAAAGATAGTGCAAAGGTAATTCCTATAATCAGGTCTTAGTATAAACATTGAACACCATCCAAAATTTTTCTGCAGAGACTGTAAACCTACAGAGTTGTTGCAAAACAAACCTCAACCACTTATAACACAGGCCACAAAACTCACCCAAAGCCTCATTTTCTCCTATTCTGTTAAGTAATATATTAAAATGCTACATTGATAAATTTACTCTTTCCAAAAATTACTAAAGGATTTTCGTTCAATGTTATCATTGATGGAGTTGTAAAATATTGCCTGTGTCATCTTGTGGGCCTGAAAACACTTCAGTTTAGTTTTTCAAGACCATCAGCACAGTATCGGGATCCATTATTCTGACATTCAAAGATTCTATGATACAATGTACTGCTTCTCCTTGTAATTAAGAATGTAAGTAGCTTTGTATTGATTACCCATTGCCTAACAAACAACGGTTTGTTTAAGATGAACTATTAAGCATATATACAAAATGACTTAAGAAAATTATTTAACCCCATTTCAAGATGAATGAGAGAAAAATAAAAAGAAGAGATGTTATACAGTAAAACAATTTTAAGTATACTTCAATTCAAATGGAATTTCCTAGACCCTCTATTGTATCCTCGAAAGTTGAAAACTCCATCAGCGATTGTTTATTTTTTATTGTATTCCCTGAATCAAAATGACAGAGCAAATAAAAACAAAGGATGAACACTGGGAATGTACCAAAAATGCCACTGAATTGTACACTTTAAAATGGCTCACTTTATGTGAATTTTGCCTTAATAACAACAACAACAAAATAGTCACCAGGAATATGTCTATATTACCAAGAAAATATAATATGTACATGATGATGGACAATATAGCAAATCTAAGCAACAAAATTCTGAGGTTGTCCAACCAAAACATTATAATAATAAAAAGACATATTCATGATTAATATCTGAGATTTGCTTCAAAATAATAAGAAAAAAAAGCATACGGGGGTGGGGGTGGAAATAGGTAGATAGAGCTGAACATACTGGCTGTAAGTTAATAACTATTGAAGCTGGATGATGGGTACAGGGAGTTCATTATATTATTCCCCCCATTCTTGCATATGTTTAAAACTGTCCACAGTAGAGAGTTTTATAAAAAATTATATTTTTAGATTGGGTCTAATCCTTGAGCTAGAAACACATGTATAGCACTGGGTACCTAGGAAGCTTAAAGTGCATCAGAAAACCAGCAAAATGAGCACCTTGATTTAGTGTTATAAGGTCATATGACTTCTAATATTGTCCATTGTTAACTTATTTTTTTAATGAACAATGGAAGCTTAAGCATTTCTTCAACGGCTTATTTAAACAGACTTCATACATAGCACATTTTATACAGGGTAACAATTTATAGGATCAGTACATACCAGGAGGATCATAGGCCTTTTCCAAGTTGTTAATCCTATGATTCCAGAAAGTATCACCTGTAAGGATAAACGGTATCATAAATCTCTATCACAGGCAGGTTAGCAGCCTCTGGAAACCATCTGTGGGTTACTTCTAGCTCAAAAGGTTTACCTTACTACGATGACAGCGGCCCCTCTGAAACCTGCGATCCAGGGTACAGGCACATGTGGTTGTGTGTACGTGTGTGTGTGCACATGTATGTATATGTATGTATGCGTCCACATGTGCGTGTGCTTTCCACCTGCCAGCTCTGCAGCCTGCTGGACTTTGCTGAGGAAATGCAGGCTGTTTTTATGAGGACATAACTGAAAATTTGACTGCTTTTGGGGGAAACACAAAATGCCCACTTTAGTAAAAAATAAATATGATGTGAATTATCAGTCAGTGTTTGATATTTATGCCATCGGTCTCCCTTAATGCAGAACCTGTGGTGCAGCTTTTTGAAATATATTTTTTCCACTAAAACAATATTAAGGGGAGGTGTCCAGTACAGGGCATAAAAACTCATAAAATAGTGACATGCCTCAACTATCCTCCCCACCTCTTTTACCAAAACACATCACCCCACCCTCCTCTATGTCAACAAGCTAACAGGTTTACATATCTTGTAAATGTATATTTTTCTCTAAATTTTTATCACTATACATATAGGTACATGTGTATATATATACATGCACAGGTGTGTGATTTTTTTTTTAAAAAGGGTCATAAAAGACATAATTTTCCTGCCTCTTCTTTTTCTCTCTAAATAGATACTTCATGGAAATCGCTTCATGTCCATTGGAATACCTCTAATTTATGCAATTTAATGGCTACATAACATTCCATTGTATGGCTGTATCTAGTATATTCAGTCATTCCCATATGCATGCGCATTCACTCTATTTCCAATTTTTTACCTTCACAAACAATGCTGCAGTAAACATCCATGCACATATATCTATAAAAACAAGTGCATTTATTTATGTTGCATAAAGCTCCAGGAGTGGGGTTTCTAAATTGAAAGGCATTTATATTTTTTATTTTAACAGATCATGATAGATACAACTGTCATTTCAAATGAAGGGTGTCTGAAACAAAAGAATAAGCCACCTCTTTGGGAGGTGGTATTTTGTTTGCATATAGTAGCAACAAACTATAGAAACTGTAATTTTTTTAAAAATGTATAAAATATATATAACACATAAGAAATAACAATAATCTCAAAGTATACATGACAAAGATACTTCAGACTTCAGTGAGGAGAAATATAAAAGCTCACTGAACAACATTAAATGAAGACTCAAATAAGACATATACCAAGTTCATGGATTGGAAGACAGACTATTCAAGGATCTCATTTCCATTTGATCTGTTTTATATACTCAGCACAAACCCAAGTTAAATCCCAGCAGGATTTTTATAAAGCCACCCTTCTTCCTAAGGGTGCTTTAAAATACTACATTCCAGGCCAGGAGCGGTGGCTCACGCCTGTAATCGTAGCACTCTGGGAGGCTGAGGTGGGCGGATTATTTGAGCTCAGAAGTTCAAGACTAGCCTGAGAACAAGAGTGAGACCCTATCTCTACTAAAAATAGAAAGAAATTAGCTGGACAACTAAAAATATATCAAAAAAAATTAGCCAGGCATGGTGGTGCATGCCTGTAGTCCCAGCTACCTGGGAGGCTGAGGCAGGAGGATTGCTTGAGCCCAGGAGTTTGAGGCTGCTGTGAGCCAGGCTGATGCCACGGCACTCTAGCCCGGGCAACAGAGCAAGACTCTGTCTCAAAAAGCAAACAAAAAAATACTACATTCCAGTTCTAGGTGGGAGCTGTAGCTGCATCCTCCTCACTCCCAAACCCTGCAACAAAGGCACACAACTGCCTTTACTCAATTTCTCCCTGTCTTCAAGCCCAGTGAAGCCCTAAGGCACTTGGGGAACCTGGTGAGAGGAGAGGAGGACATAGGCAAACAGGAAGTAGGGCTGGCAGGGGAACAGAGTGCTTCGGCTGGGGATGAATCTTTTAAGAGCTCAAGACTTAGGGAACGAGGCTCACGTTTCATCTGAAGGAAGTCACAGATGGGGAGAGGGGCTGGGGGAAGGAGAAAAGAAGGAGGCAAGAGTATAGCATGCCTCCACCCCCCTCAGTGGCAGTGAGGACTGGAACTCCACCGGCAGCGAGTCAAGCAGGTCCCTTAACAATGACCTTTCATGGCTCCCATTACACCATAATGCTACTAGTACATATTTAATTGTCTATCCCAGGGCTTGGGCCTGTGAGTACTCACTCAAGTACCACTAAAGGCTCTGAGAAGGCATTCGGTCAGTTACGGCAAGAGTGAATGAGTGAATGGAGACCAGAAATAGAAGACGCACTTGCTCAGAGTTAACACTGTAAACCTAAGCACATTCCCTGTGCTTCCAAAAAGAATATATCCGTAGCGAAAAGCAACTCTATCAACATTCTTTCCACCCAGCGCAAGATGCAACTTGCTCTAAATGAACAGGCGAGAACCTATTTTCTAACGCCAAACTCTCTCTGTATTATTATAATGAGATTTATTACAATTTTTGTTTAACTCACTCGTAACCCATTCCTGGTAGTTTATAGGAAAAAGCAGAGGCCTTTTTATCTGATGTTGTGGAAAAGGGTTCTGAGATACTCCAGGTGACAGTGGTTGTTACCCACTATATATTGTTAATGTGCCTTAATTTTCCAGCTTAAAAATCAAATCATTAAGATCAAAAGCTTATAATTCTACTGCCCTATTTTCCTTTGCTAATCCATTAGCATGCCTCAGGGCAAAAATGTTCTGGATCATTTGTCAAAAGCTGCTGTATCTAAACACAGAGATTAAAAGAGCCATGTTGTAAATGTTCCATGTTTACCCCATAAATAAGCGCAAAAATAATTTATCAAATCTCAACAACCTATCTTGCCCTATAGCTTTCACACTGGCAACTGAAAAAAAAAATGTGTGTGTATGTGTGTGTATGTGTGTGCTTCTTCACTATCTATCTAGCATGACTCATTTAAAAAACTGAGAAAGCGGCCAATTGAAGATTTCTAACACATATGTGATGGTTACCACAATGTCTTACAAAAAAGTGGCCTGTTCACTTTACTTTGATTAAATATTGTCTTGATGTTTAAAAAACATTGATAGAGATTGATGATGAGTCCCCCATAAAAACATTCCTTGGAACAACCTCTATGGAAAACAATATGCAGATTCCTCAAAGAACTAAAAGTAGACCTACCATTCAATCCAGCAGTCCCACTACTGGGTATTTACCCAAAGGAAAAGAAGTCATTTTATCAAAAATACACCTGCACTCAATTATTTACTGTAGCACAATTCACAATTGCAAAGATGTCGAATAAATCCAAATGCCCATCAATTCATGAGTGGATTAACAAAATGTGGTATATGTATATTGTGGAATAGTACTCAGTTATGAAAAAGGATGACTTAATACCTTTTGCAACAATTTGGATGGAACTGGAGACCATTATCCTAAGTGAAGTATCTAAAGAATGGAAAAACAAACACTATGCGTACTAACTATTAAACTGGAACTAATTGATGAGCACACATGTGCACAGACAGAAGCAAAACTCAACGGAAACCAATCAGGGGGGAGGGGGTCAGTGAAAACCTACCTAATTGGTACAACGAACACTAACCAGGTGATGGACACATTTATAACCTTGACTCAAGCGATCCTTGTAACCAAAAACATGTACCCCCATAATACTTTAAAATTTAAAAATACAGACACATTGACAGAGGTTCCAGCATGTGTCTGGCCTGGTGCTAGGTCCACATCATCATCAAAGCACTCTCCTATATGTTCTCTAATTACGCCCTCATGAAATCAGTCCTGAAGCCAGAATCATCCCATCCATTTTACAAATGAGTAACTGATGCCCAGAGGCTCAATGACTTGTTCAAGGCACAGAACTCATAAATGTGATTCTGCTGTTATGCAAATAAAATATCAAAGAAAATCAATAAAATTCATCCCCCAAATTATATTTAAAATATCTCTTAAATATTAAAGTAATATTTAAGTATGATAGAAAATATAGAGTATGATAGAAAATATATATTACTGCTGTTTAACTGGTAGAAACTTCAGAATTTTTACATTAGTCTCTCCCTTGGCCCATTCATTCTTTTTTATGTCTAGTCATTGCAATTTTTTTAAGTTTTAAAACTGTTTTAAAACCCTGAAGTTCACCAATGTCTGTCCCTTTATATGAAAGTAGAATCTTGCTGAAGAATCATGTACTCAACGGAGGGGTGACCATGAATTTAGATCAGTGACTTAAAGCAGATAGACATAAATGTATGTAGATAAAAAGGACATTGGGGTACCCAGAGAACAAAAAACAAATAACCAGTTCTCTATCACTTGCCTGAAATATCTCCCAAGAATCATATATGTCATAAAAGTCAGGAATTTTATTTTGGAAGGAGGAGAGACAGACCATCGCAACTCTGTCTACTCTTTAATTAAATCTAGCACAGTGTGGTAGGCTGAGTCTCCCATAATCCCAGTGGACTCTAATTAATATTAACTAAACATACACCCAAATCAAGCACCCCCCCAATGCTGAGTGCTAGGACAGCATTGTCTGAACATGGATACTGAGATCTTTATTCAGCCACCCACCTACAGTCAAACTTCAGGTTGTTTTTAAAGGTGGCCGATCTCTTAGTTTCATGAACTTTGGGAATAATAATACACTGAGTCATTAACTAGTGGTACCAGGAGGAAAACAAATGATTACAGAGTGCTCAAAAACACAGAGTACATTAAAAATGCTCCCTACAAGTTGCTGAAAGTATGAATGTAAACTATGTAAGAAGATACTTTACAGGACTTGTTAAAGCTTAAATTTTCTTAAGGAGATAAAATACACCTTCAAGGTTAAGACAAAAGTAATAAGCCTCAAAAACCTCAGGTTCAGGGAGGGAACTCTTACAGAAAGGCACACACAAAAAAATATCCTTAAACTATGCCATGTTTAACAAAACAGTCCCTTTTAAATGAACAGATTTGTCTCTTAAACCTAATTTCAGAACAAATGTAAAAGCAAAATTTTTACTGAAGCCAAAAGAAGATTTTCCACTTTAGTTGATATAACAGGCTGAAGTGCCTAAGAGTCATTCCAAGTTTAAATATGAGGATATTCTTCTAGTGTTTTCCTAAGTGGGTTTGATGTAACCTTAGACTTCAGTTGGCACTTCCACGCAACCACCTAGTTTCATATGCTAATAAAACTTCTGAGCGGATAAATAAACATGCATACCCATACAACGGAGTATCATTTGATAATAAACAAGAATGTAATATTCATACATGCCACAACATGCATGAACCTTGAAAACATGCTAAGTGAATGAAGCCAGTCATAGAAGATCACATATTATATGATCCCATTTATATGAAATGTCCAAAATCAACAAATCTATAGAGCCAGAAAGTAGGTTAATCAGTGGGTGCCTAGGGTAGGGAGGATGGAAAGAATAGAGAGTAATGGCCAATAACTTTTTGAGGTGGTGAAAATTTTCTAAAATTGATTGTAGTAACAGTTACACAACTCTGAATTTACTAACAACCACTGAATGGTACACTTTAAATAGATGAAATGCATGGCATGTGAACTATATTTCAAAGCTTTTTTTTTTTAATTCTGTAGTCCTCAAGTCAGAATCTTTCAGCTTTTTTCATAAAACCCTTAGTTTAGCTATCTTCCAATTAATTGCAATGTGCTATTAAGCCCCTTTATTTTAGAGATATATACTAAAATATTTAATGGCTAAAGTTATGATACCTGGAATTTGCCTTAAAATAATCCAATGGATGTTAAAAAGGGGAGTGATATTGGGTATAGAGTGACCATGCATTAGCAACTGAAGCTGGGGATGAGTAAATGGGGGTTTTGCACTCTTCTACATTGGTTGAAATTTTAAAGTTATTCATAATAAAAGTTTAGAAGTGGAGGGGGAAGTTCTTAAGTCTTCCTTACTTCTATGCTATCTCTCTATGCCGGTTATATGTACAGATAGATAGATTTAAATATATACGCATTGAAATATTTACAGATGAAATATGTGACGTCTGAGGTTTCTTTCAAAATAATAAGAGAATTTAGTCTGACAAATGAACTAGGGAGCATGAAGGATTTAATTCCTATGCTGCTTGAAATACCCACCCTTTTAGAGTTTATCAGAACACACAGGGCCCGCAGCAGAGCCCAGGAAGGGGGTACAGATGAAAACATACTGAAGGGTATGTGTGGGTTCCTTGTACAGCGTTTTTCATATAAATTTAAAATTTTCCACAATGCAAGGTTTTTAAAAAAACAACCTAACCTCTGCTACATACATAAATTCAAAACATGATCAGACTTTCTTTTTCCTAAAAACACCAAAAGAATCATGGCATCTAATGCCATTCTCTTACAATTGTTATTTAATTGTTCTATAGGTACAGTATCACTAGTCCTGTTGTCACTTTGTAAATTGTGAGGTCAACGAGTCACCAAAAGAATAGGAATATAACCCACAGTTACAGGGTTGCATACAGACTTAGGGAACACAGTTGGGGGAACGGCATGCAGAAGAGAACTTGTCAGTTCCAAATCACTGATTCTCTCCCTGCCCAAGGATATGCCCAGACAATAGGCCAGGGTATTAGCCTTTATCCTCTGGTTGATGGCCTTTTTTTTTTTTTTTTTTTTTTTGTATTTCATCAAATCTGACTGTGGTTTGACTGACAGATCTAAGTGCATTTACTTCTGAAATAATTCACAATAGTAAATTGATTTCAGGTTTTAATTTTAGAAAACAAAAAATAGTTTTTAATAATTCTAAAGTAGCTATCTTTGAGAAGACAATAGATTATGATTTTACAAAGAGCAAATCCCTAAAAAATGTATGCAAGATTCATTAATGGCCCATGGCATTTAGAGAAATGAAACGTACCAACCATTTGGCTGAATTTAGTCTGAAAAATGTAGTAGAGAGCATAAGGGAACTAATTCCTACCCTCTTTGGAATACCCAACCCTCTGGAGTCTTCTAGAACACTCACAGAGGCCAACAGCAGAGCCCAGGGGCAGGGCCACAAGGTGGTATTTTGTCCACATGATGCACAAATTGTGAACTTCCCTCGCCATAGCACAGGGTGTACCCCAATAAGATCCTCCAACATCAAAGCATTTCAAAACAAGAGCAAATTGGTTCCGGCTGAAGTATAAAATTTCAGGCTAGGCTCCAAGGAACCTAACGTTCTTAATGTTCTTATTCAAACAATTACTTTGGGTCTAATTAGTTCTCCCTACATTCTTAAATTTTGGTCTTGAATCTGGGTATGTATAGTTTTTATGCGTCCAAGACATACGCTGGTTACAGATCTTAGTAAAATTCACGGGCACTGCCAGACTTTCAGGTTTACATCGTTTATAGAAAGGCCGTCTACCTTACTGTACCCATCTTCCACAACCATTCCAAAAAAGATGTGTTTTCAAGCCGATCAACACTCAGCAAACCTCAAAGGGGTGGAATGCCCTGGAAGTTGTGAAACTGTTAGAAGGCAGGGGTGAGCAGCCACCAAGCTCGCCTCAGCAGCCTTCCTCCGAAGTCCCAGCACCCTTTTGCCCTGGGACTGGCCTTCCAGGATGGAGGCGGCAGGCCTAAGTCCTGGAGCAGGGCAGGCATCTCCGGCCAGCTGAAGCTTTGGCCAGCTCATCCATAATGACAGGTCCGGGTTCTCAAGAACTAAATTCCGCGCAGTAGCCTGCGTGGCTCCAGGGACCCAGGGGAGTCGGGGCCCGCCTGTAATGACCAGGTACAAGCGCCGTTGACACACACCCTCTCATTACCTCCTGAACCCGTCTGGGGGGCGAGCCACCCTACACATTTCACATTTACGTGTGTCTCGGGTGCAGAATAAAACAAGTGGCATGCCCCAATCAACCTGTCACTTCAGCTATCCTGCAAACGCACCTACTGTGTGCCAGGCCCTGTTGATACATCAGTGGACAAAACAGATCAAAATCCCCGCCCCCCCCCAGGGGACAGACGTTGTCGGTTCGCTAAATACTCAATGGTCAAAAGAAGTTTAATCATTTTCCTCCCACTTCCCTGCCACCCACCCCATCTTTCCAATCTCCCAAAGAGCCAGATATCTTTGTTTTATTCTACGAGCTTGACAGAGACAATAAAACCCTTTAGGTGGGAGGCATAGACACTGCCCAGGTGCAACCCAATTCGCCCCTGAACTCCACTGTCTTGGAACATACTTCTCCAGCCTCAACGCCTCCAGAAACTTCAAGCGGCCTGAGGGGCTGTGCTCCCCAACTGCAGCCCTGGAGGCCAACCGCGGGGCAAGGGAGGGGACTGGCCAGATGCCCCTGGCCCCCGGGCGGGCCCTGAGCGCGAGGCGCGCGCGGTACTCACCGAGGAGCCGGCCCAGAACGGACAAGAGTTCTTCACCTGCGGGGAGCTGCTCAGCGACAGCGCCCCGAAGCTGAGCGCCACCATGCAGCAGCCCAGGATCAGCTGCAGCAGCCCGAGCGACAGCAGCGGGCGGGCAGGCAGCAGCGCGGAGCCCGGGGCCGCGGCGGCGGCGGCGGCGGCTGCTCGGCGGGAGAGAGCGGCGGGCGGGCGCGGCAGCACCCCGGGCGGGGCCGCGCAGCGGAGGCCGCGCCGGGGCTGCAGCGCGCCCGGGGCCAGCGCGGCCGCAGGGGCAGCGGCGGTTCCTGGGCGGCGGTGGCCGCGGCGCCGGGGCCCCCGGCCTGGGGCCCGCCAGAAAGCCCCGCCACGGGGCAGCAGGAGCCCGGGAGCACCACGGGCAGGGACATGGACGGGCGGGGAAGGGAGCGGCCGGCGGCGGCGGGGAGGGGACGCGGAGCGGAGCCGAGGGCGCCGCACACTGGGCACCGCGCGCGGGCGCCGAGGCCGAGGGGGAGGGAAGGAAATGCGCACCGCCCAACCACTTGCTGCCGCCGCCGCCGCCGCTGCCCCGGCTCCCACCGGCCGCACCCAACCGCCGCCCGGCGGTTCCGCCTCCAGCTGGCCCCGGGCGCACCTTCGCTCTCGCCCACGCGCGCCCTGTGCTCGCGCTGCGGGCGGCAAGTGCGCCCGGCCTTCGGGGTCACCGCCGAACCCGCGCCCGCTCCCTGGGGTCCAGGAAGGGCGCCCTACTCCACATGTTTAAATAAGTCCCTCGGGCTGGGAGGGAGCCCGCGGCCAGGGCGCGGCGGGGCTGGCCAGCGGCGTCTAAGAGTCCGTCCCCACCCGCCGGGCTGGGGCTGGCGGGGAGCGCGAGGAAAGCCCTGTGGCCCCTCGGCGCCCCGCGGTCCGGCCGAGAGAGGGACCCGGCGAGCTTCACGGAGAAGCGAGCCCGGCTTTAAACTTTTGCCCCCACCCCGCCCGCCTCCGGAGAAGGGGACGCCAGGAGGAGGGGCTACGGGGCGACTGGAAGGGAAGAGGTGTAAGCCAAGGACTTCGGGAAGGACGGGGCCCGGCGAAGTCGCCGCTCGAGCGGCGCGGGACCTGCCGGCACCGCATCCGCGTGGGCTGCGGGGCGCCGACTGCGCCGCGGCCGGGCCGGCGGGGGTGGGAGGGGCGGGCCGCGCGCCTTCCCGGCTCCGCTGTCGGAGGGAGAATGAGAGGACGAGGGTACCTTGGAAGTATCCAGCATCCATGCAAAAAGAAAGGACCCGGGGCAGCCCCGAGCGCAAGTCGAGGGTCATACATTCTCAGTCCTCCTCGCCTTGACTCATGCGCTATATTAGGCATCACCAGGTGGAACACAGAATCCCAAGCTTCCAAGGAACTATCCTAATAAAATCCTAATCTACTTTGGTAATTCGAGACATCTTTGGAGCTTTTTCAAAAAAAAAAAAAAAAAGATCCACCTTTGCAAAATGATGTCCCCTAATAGTATTACCTTTTCACCTCAGGAGAATTCTAACGCGAACAAAGTGTCATACATAAAATGATTTATAATGGATTTTTTTCCAGATAAGAACCAGAGCAGCGCCAGTTCCAGTATTAGAAAGCTTGTCTTATCGGTAAGGCGGGGGTATTTAACATCCTCCTGTCCCATAAACCGTGTATCAGTTTTTATGCTCTGTTTGTGAAGGCTATATTTATTTTGGTAAATTACTTCAGCCCACAACGTGATGATGTATTGCCAATGTGCGTGTGTTTATATATACACTTTTTAAATTATTAAAGCTCCTGTGATTAATGGTCCCTAGCACTTCCTCTACAGACTGTAAAGGAATAAAGTTTTACAGTCAGGAATAAAACTTCAAATTCTGGAGGGGAAAGAAGATGTCTTTTAAAATAAATGTTTAAAGTCTACTGTTTCATGCTCTTTAAAAAACAAATTATAGTATATGCTCTTAAGTTGCAGAGGATGTTGAATTAAAAGCTTCTTGGGTTCTGAGGTCATACCCTTTATTTTATATACAAGCTTAAAGGTATTTAATTTTTAAGAATGTATTACACCATGCAAGGTAGTAAGTCTGACTGAGTCTTAAGAAATTCTCCCAGCTAAACAAATCTATTCCATTAGCTAGTCCTTGACACCTGAAACGTACTATTAAAAATGTATTTGTGTCTAAGAATGTTGGTATTAGAAGTCAGGATATCCTACATCCCTTGGGGATGGTTATGTCTGCAAAAGGAGTTTTGAGGGTTGCTGGTGATGATGTTTATTGATGTGGGTGCTAATTACATGGGTGAGGTTCATGTTGTGAAAATTCATGGAATTACGCTTACGATTTGTGCACGTCTCTGTATTTCATACTTAAATACTTTAAAGTATTTCTAAGTTCTTTATTGTTAATTTTTTTTCAAGTCTTTTTCCCTATGCAGAAACAGATGATAGCAGATGTTTGGGCTGAAATCCATAGATGGTTTTATCTAATAGCTTTACTCATTTTATAAGATCATTAAACCTTTTCCAAAGCTACTAATTAAGGGTTGTTGTGCTGTCATTTTTTTTTTAATGGCCACATTTATATCTGTGAGTTTCTTTTTCTAGTTACCATAAACAGGAATTCGTGTAACATTGCCCAACCTTTAAGGTTATGTCAAATGACACCCTCAAGTATTTGGGCTTGGGATTTTTGTAAATCAAGCTTGAATCTTTGCATTCCCCAAACAGTGCTTACAATAAGTCTTTAGTTATACCTGGTCAAGCTCTATGTAACTAAGCTATAATAGGATGATTTAGAGCCTTTGTTCAGGTCAACTTGAAAAAATAAAATGAGGACTTGGAAAACAGTCTGGCAATTCCTCAAAAAGTTAAACATAGATTTATCATTGGACCCTGTAATTCTACTCCTAGGTATATACCCAAAAGAAATGAAGACATATATCCACACCAAAACTTGTACACAAATAACAGTATTATTCACCATAGCCAAAAAAAGCGAAGCAACCCAAGTGTCAACCAAGTGTATGAACGGATAAACAAAATAGAATATCCATCCAATGGAATATTGTTGTCAGTAAAAAAGGAATGAAGTGCACATACATGCTACAACATGGAAGAACCTCAAAAACATTATGCTAAGTGAAAGAAGCCAGTCACAAAAGACCTCATATTATGTAACTCCATTTATATTAAATGTCTAGAATAGACAGCTTCAAAAAAGCTTAGTGGTTGCTTGGGGCTGGAGAAATGGGGAGATTGGGGGTAATAACTAAAGCACATGGGGTTTCTTTTTAAGGTGATAAAAAAATATTCCAAAATTGATCCTACTAATGATTCCACAACTCTCTGAATGTACTAAAAGCCATTAAATTGTACACTTTAAATGGGTGAATTGTATGTGTGGCATCTGAGTTCTATCTCAATAAAGAGCAGTTACCAAAAAAAAAAAAAATTAAAAATAAAGTGAGGAAGAACCTATGCAAAACTTGACCCAGATGCTTCATTAATGTAGGTGAAAGTTCAAGGAAACAATATCTGTATTGTTTGGTGAAACCCAGCTGCCAGTTTTCCTCAAGATCAAAGCTAAATTCCAAGGACATTCTATATATTTCCCACAAACACTTCTCCTCCCTGTACCTTATTTTCCACTCAGAGCTTTCTTCTCTCAGGAGTTCAAGCTGTCTACTCAGATTTCTTTGGACACCTTTAAATAAATGCCTTGGTTCTTTCCACATTTCTCAAAAGACCCAACCTGTTAGCTAATTAAAGGAGGTTGTTCCCTGTCAGAGTGGGAGCTGCTGAAGAAACTCTTTCCTCACAACATGTTCCCTGGCAATCTGCCTCGAGTTGTTACTTTTGACAAGAGGAGAGGTGCTTCTCCGAGTTAAGGCATAGTGGACTCCAGAAGCCCACAGCTAACATGGCAGCTCTGGAGCAGCTTCTCAAACTGTGCTCCACAGACCGCAGGACCATGCTGGAGGGTGGAGGGGGTTATGTCATAATGCAAGTTCACACACTTCCCCCCATACCTATGAATCAGACACTCTGGATTGGAGGCCTAGAAACATTGCATTTTAACAACTATAAATTAATATTAGTATATGGTACTATTCATATTCCAGAATTTTCATATGGGAATTTTTATATGAGAGGGGACTAGGAGCAGCAATTTTATTGGAAGGGGAAGGTAGGAGACTTGGCTTGAAAGCAAGCTTACATGGAAATATGTGATGGCAAAGGGACTTTGCTGGTCCCCCCCTCCCCCAAGCCAGGCACTGTTGCCCACATGATTTTTATGCACAGGAAGGATGTAGACCACTGGATTCTAATGGAAAGGGCACCATCCAAGGAGCCAGAAGTTCTGAGTTCTAGCCCCTCCTCCACACTGCACTCTTGAACATGTCAGGAGCTTCTTGGCTTCAATTGCTTCATCTGTAAAATGAAGGTGCATGAAACTTCATCTGCCTGAGGCTGGGCCATGCAATCATTTGGATTTCCCAAGGCATATGATTTTGAAATTCAGCCATTCTCATCACCAAGGTTTCTTAGATGCCCAGCAAGAAAACAAGGACTAAGAACAGCAGGTAAATTTGGGTATGGAATAGTTAAACTTACAGACCCAAGATACCCAAGACAAAACCCCAAACTCACTCTTCTAAACTTTAAGACCTCAGGTTCCATGGTCTCGGGTTTTTTGCTGTGTTATATGAGAAATCACATGGGGATAATGGATGAATGGTAACGGCAATTATAACATTTTACTTGGTAGAGAAAGGGATGTGTAACTTTTATTTTTAAATTAAGAGAGAGAAAATGAAAAAAGAAAAAGAAAGAAAGAAAGAAAGAAACCTCTGAGCAGAGCTGGGCAAATCAGGCACTATGTTTTCCTGAAATAATCGTACAGACTGGTGGTTCAGGATTTCTAACACCTTTGGTCCCAGGACAAACTTATTTGTGAAGCAGAAGGGCTGCAGCCATACTTTTCTTGTTGTTGAAATTAAATACTGAAAATTTCTTGTAATGCAATTCCCAAAAAAGACAGTTCAAGCCAACTGCCCTAAAAATTATTTATGGCTCATAAATGTATAGGGGAGATAAGCTATACATATATGTGTAATAAAGCGTGTCCTATGAATATGTGAGTGTGTGTGTGTGTGTGTGTGTGTGTAACCTTGTAATATCAGAACGTCCTGTAGTTTCAAGTTTCTATAGAAGTCAAAGCTGAAAGTCACCTTTAAGTGGAGACCGATTCTTTGTTCTAGGGAAATCTCTTGAACAGCACTTTCAGTTAAATCAAATGTGAAAGCATAATCTTTGAAACAGATGTTTAGGAAAAAGCTATATGATAACAAGAGAGGTTTTCTTCGAACAGCATGAGCAGGTTGCCTGTCCCCCTACTAAGGAGCTTGTGATCTGAGGTGCTTG